CTGTAGTGTTTTCTGATATACAGCCACTACAGATCTGTTGAACAATCAAACTCATTAGTCTTTCCTCTTGCTCTATGAGACTTAGAAAGCCACAAATAAATATAATTAAAATTTTTTTTTTTAGCTTTTGTTTTTAAGTCATTTTTGGAATGTCCATTGTCTCCCTGGAGGAGGCTGACAGCTGTATGTATGCTACTCTCACTCTACTACTGGTTTATTACTATTATTCACAATAAGATGCTTAGTTGTCAGAAGTTTGGTGAATAAGTTGTTCTCTTTATCAGCACACCTATTGATCTGACTTGACCAACACATCTATATAGGACTCCAATTTAGACTTGGAAACTGCAACCCAGTATTTAATGCACCAAGAAAAGCAGCAGTTAATTATTGTTGAGTCAGTAAACATTACTTCACCTCGGTAAAAATATGCTTCATCTGGGCTTGTTTATTCCTGAATCGCTTGATCTTCTGGGCGATGCGAGGATCCTTTTCCAGCTCTTCCATTGTTGCCCATTTACAATGTAAATAGGAACTATCCAAAGACACATAGACGGTGAGACACAGAGCTAGCAATGACTACGCTTTAAGGTTAATAAACAGGAGGACCGTCTACATAGAAGTAGCAGAGTGCTATGTGGTGACACTGCTGCTAAGAAGGCCCTGCCCTTAAGGGTAGTAAGAAACCATCCACAACAGAGTACTAACTCCAAGCAAGAAATTTCCCTGTAGGTTCTGCACAACTGGCTCAGGACAGATGAGGGGCAAACTATTAAGTATGTATCAGTGAGAGCAGGCAGGTAGCAGAAAGGGGGGAATGCAAGAGGAAAAAGACTCTATACTATAGGACAGTGGTCTTCTACCTTGGGTGCACATGAGAAATGCCCAGGGAGTTTTAAAACACATCAATCCTTAGGGACCATGTGATTCTGAGTCAACTGGTCTTAAGTGAAGCAAAGCCTCCAGCAGCTTTTAAAAGCCCTCCATATCATGCTCTTTGTGTAGCCATATGACTGCCTAAGGTGATCTCGAGTCAGCCAAGATTGGTGGGTCATGCTTTAGGGGCCAGTCTCTTAAAAATACTGAAGATAATAAAGTCTCATGGGAAAGGAATTTTTATTCATGTCAAATCCAGATACATTTAGAATATTAAATAGACGTACAAGTTTCTATACTTAACGTAGAAGAGTTCTAGATCGAATGGAGGTTCTCCTGGGTGAGCCTGTAACCAACAGCAAAGCCATTATTAGCTCATACACCCAGCAGACCACCCTTTCTTTGCCAAAATAAAACAGGTAAATCAACACCTCTGCCTTGTTTTAGTAAGAATCTCTGGAAGACATTTTTATTTTCCCAGGTGTTTTTTTTTTTTTTTTTGGTCTTTCTTGAGACAGGGTCTCCCTGTAGCCCCAGCTGTCCTGGAACTCACTATGTAGACCAGGCTGGCCTTGAGCTCACAGAGATCCGCCTGTCTCTGCCTCCCAAGTGCTGGGATTAAAGGCGTGTGCCACCACGCCAGGCCCCATCCAGGTCTTTTCTTATAGCTAACCCTAATCCTAACCCCAGAATTTCCAATACATAGATATTTGATAGAGTGGAGTGAGGGGGGGAGGGCACAGGACACAATGGCCCTTCCTGGTATCCAGTCAAGGTCTACATGGGAAGAGCTTCCAGCTGATAAGCCCAAACTAGCCCAGGACTCTGGTAAATGTTAAGGACCACAGCCTGGTGCAGAAGTAACTTAACTTCACTCGTTGCTGGCTTCCTCTGATACTCTCTGTACTGAAACAACATAAGGAAGTCTACTTCTGTAAATACTGGAAGTAAAAAAAAAACTATATTGTCACCAGGACCAACATATTCTCTCATTCACAGAATTTTCTCTAGGGGTTCCTATGATAGCCTGAGATGTCTAAAGAACCCCCCCGCCACTGTTTTTCATTAGGATTCTTCTTCTCTTCTTCTTGGCCCCTAATGACTTTTAACAGGCTATAAAGACAAAGGGATAAAAATATCTTTTGTTAGGATCATAATGGAGAAAATTATCAACTTGAGTCATTCAAGACATTTAAGAACTTTATGTCCTAAAAATCTCCATGGGGACAATATTCTCGCCAACCTCTCACTCTAGCCAAGAATGGTACTGTAGGTTCTCTAGGCAAATCCTTCTTCGCAGAGCAGAACCATACTAGTGGCATAAAAAATAAGCCACCAACCTCCTGGACAGTTTTAGATGCCAGGATCTTCTCAATGATGTTTGCGTCATCTTCTGGAGGCTCCTAAAGGCAGAAATTAAAGAGATTATTGGAAACGGAGCCTGAGAAAACAGCTCTGTAAATATACGATGAGCAAACCTTAAGCAAAATGCTTGGGTTCAGGAGTTTTTCTGATTTCAGAGACAGTGAGATTTTGGAGTATTTGTATAGACTATCAACCCAAGTATCCTTAATTCAAAATTCTGAAATCTGAAACTCATTGGGCTTCATGTGGACATGCAAAAACTTTTTAGATGTGAAAATTTGGATTAGGGATGCTGAACTTGTATTAAATAGCTCCTACTTCATTGAAGGTTGGTGAGATGGCTCAGTGGGTAAAAGTACTTGCCACTCAAGCCTGATGACCTGACTCTGATATTCAGATCCCAGGGTAGAAAGGGAGAACTGACTCCTGAGAGTTGTCCTTTGACCTCCACAAATACACTGCTGTGTGTGTAAGCACACAAACTATAAATAAATAAATAAATAAATAAATAAATAAATAAATAAATAAATAAATAAATAAAGGGGCTGGGGAGTTGGCTCAGCAGTTAATAGCACCGGTTGTTCTTACAGAAAACCCAGGTTCAATCCCCAGTACCCAGGTGGCAGCTAACAATCATTTGTAACTCCAGTTCCAGGGGATCCGATGCCCTCTTCTGCCCTCCATGGGCACTGCACAACATGGATACACTTACATACATGCAGGCATAACACTCATACACATAAAATTAAAAAAAATTTATTTTAACTACTTAAAAAGTCCACAGATCTTTGTGCATTGAAGCCTCCCTAAGAAAGTTCACGAATATTTTGCAGTTAGAATTCAAAGGGGCATGTTCTAATTTCTAGGCACAACCCTATATATTCTGTTTTTCAGAGTCAATTTCAGATCTGCCTTTAGTATCAATAAAACTTTTCCAAGGACTGCCCATCTTTGTAAATCTTCCTCATTTTGATATATAAAATTTTCAGAAGGCCAAAGCTAAAAAAATTTTTTTTCAGAAGGGGGAGGGGGAAGGGACTGCATGATGACTCAGCAGGTAAAGCTCCCTGGGGCCAAGCCTGACAACTGAGTTCTAGCCTTGAAACTTAAACGATGGAAGCAAAGAACTGACTCCTGAAAGTTGTCCTGTGACTCCCATTGTAGTATGTGTCCCCTCACGTAAATAAATGAATGCAATAAAATTTAAAACAATGAATACTGGAGCTTTAGGATCAAACCAGAAGGTCCCAATTCTAATACTAACATCTATTAACTTCCAGAAAGCATTTCTTGGTTTCCAAGCAGCAGCAGCAGCAGGAATGGTAGTAAAATACATATCTCACCAGTTTACTAGGATAAAATGGTCTATGAAAAAATTTTTTGAATTGTAATAATCTCTACTAAACTGCTGTTTCACTGATAATTCCGACTAAAAATAAATTAATTCCATTCTTCCTACCCTAAACATACACCAAAATTTCTAGACTCTGAATCTCCAGGAAATCTTTTTCTATGGTATACTGAAGATTCAAAGAAATCTGCGTGAAAAATGACACTCTAAAGAAGCATGCACTGAGTGACAGTTCCATGTTTAAACGTTCTTTCCAGACTTCAGTTTCGTACACTCTGCACCTTTCCAGACCTACTATAATGTAAGACTTAAGGCAGTGTATGGAAAGAATACTCAATTCGTTCCTTGACAACCCCAACTACTAAACTACTCTACATTGCTGGTTGGAACACTCTAGAAAGATGATTTGTGCTGCATATCACCTTTAGTTTACTCACTCTAAAACAAAGCTGTCCTAAAGGCCACATCATTATAGAAAGCCTATTTCTTGCATTCTTAAATCAAGGTTTTCCTAGAAAAAATGACCATAGTTAAAAATAAAGAAAAGATAAGGAAGGCAAATAGCAGTGAAATTATGGAACTCGTAAAGCAGACAGGCAGATGCTCAGAGATCACAGACGTTTATTATGCTCCTCCAGTCATGGGGCATTGTGCCGGGTGCCATGTCAAAGCTAATTTAAAAGAACTAGTCTTTTCTCACTGCTCAATGAGAAGGCCACTGAACTGTGCTTACAATAGAAGAAAAGGGTGTGAACACAGACTAAGCTTGTTTTTCTGTTTAGGTGTCTGATCTGCTTGATCCTTTGGCACAGGCAATGGAAGAGGAGGCAGTTTATGGGTTACTGCATTTAAACCCAATTACAGTGTAAACTTTCTAAGGGCAGATATCCTTTGATTCACTGATACAGCCATTGGTCTAGAAAATGCCAGGCTAAGATGAGTATTAAGAATCTGCTAAATGCTAAGAAAAATGAAGTACCAAACTCTAGAGCCTGAGGCCATGATCTTAGATCAAGTTATCAAAAAGTCTCCTTCTCTACACACCTAGACATGTCATGCCTGGATAGTAACAGCAGAGGGCCAATGCTAGATGTCTTTTCACAGGCAGCAAGGACAGTTGCTACAGGTTTGACTATTCCAAGTCAATAGCAAATAAGGTTAAGAGGAACTGACTGATGAGCTCAGTTACTTAGCTTCCTACTACATTTCTTTCCTAAATTTCCATTCCTTATTATTTACTTATATTTTTATATTTACACAGCAGTCTTAGAGAAATAAGTAAGGCACATAATCCTCACCATAATAGACTAACATGTTCTTAGTTCTGGAGGGTTTTTGTGTGGTTGTGTAGTGTGTATAAACCTCAAGTGTGTATCTTGATGAGTTTTTATATGCATATACACATTACCACCCATGTCAAATTAGACAGCCTTTGCAATATTCTAGAAGACACTTGTAAGCCCAATGGAAGAACCACTAATAGAACTTCTACCACCACATATTAGTTTGGCTATTATCAGACTACTATTAATAAATGAAATCACATAGCATGCTACTCACTCTTTTAACACTATGCAGCACTTTGCTATATAAATACCATTAATTATCCATTTTACTACTGAGTATTTAGGTTGCTTCTTATTTTTGTATTATAAAATTCATATAAATTGTATCTTTAGATAAACAAAGCTCTTTTACAAATGTACACAGTACATACACACATAACACATATACACTTAGGAATGGGAATACTGGGTTGTGGAATTGGTATGTTTAGTTTTAATAGTGTTAATTTTTTTCTAAAACAGTTGTGATAATTTTTATATACACTAGAAATGGATGGGAGTTCTAGGTGATTATGATAATGTCAGCTTTAACATTAGCCATTATGATGGTTTGAATGGCAAGCACCCCTACCCCCAGGCTCAAATATTTGAACACTTGATCAGCTGTTGGCACTGTGGCCTTGCTGGAGAAAGCATGTCATGAGGGGTGGGCTTTGAGAGTTCATACCCTTGCCCAACCTCCAGTTTTACTCTCTGCTTCCTGTGTGTGCTCGAAGATGTGAGCTCTCAGCTTTCTGCTCCAGGTGCCTTCTGCCATGTCGGACTCTCATCCCTCTGAAACTGAAAATCCAAATAAATTTGTCTTCTATAAGGTGCCTTGGACTCATGGTGTTGTATCACAGCAAGAGAAAAGTAACTGATGTAGCCATCTTAGTGGTTAAGTAGCACTGTCTCTGCTACTGAAGATTCTGAGTACCACCTTCTCATGCAATTATTAGTGAGGATCTTGTTTTGTGACTCTTATTCAAGTTTGCCTACTTTAAGGATTTGTCCTCTTTGAACAACAACTGGCCAGCATGAAGATAAGAGGCTGCTGAGAAATTAATCCTGAATAGGACACCTATATCAAACTTCATTGTGGGAGAGGGAGTGGAAAGATTGTAAGCACCAGAAGAGGTGGATGACTACAAGGAAACAGTTTTGTAGACAGCTGGTCAGTTACACATATGAATTCACAGCAATGGTATCAGCATATACAAGTTCCACAAAAACTCAAGTCAGACAAAAATCCCAGCACAGACGTGGGGAAGTGGGTAAGAAACCCTAACCATACCTGAGGAACTACTGTAACCAATGGCTGTTGGGAAGGGGAGTTTCAGTCTCCTTTAAGGGTAAGACTCTTAGTTGGTTAACTAGGCTCCAGTGGATGACTACACACCAAGGGGCATTTGTGGACACAAACTTGACTCTATAGGCACACACACACACAAACACACGAAATTTGGATTTGGTGGAGGGGAGTAGTAAGGGAGTGAAGATAGGGACTCTAAATATGATCAAAATATATTGTATGAAATTTGCAAAAATTCAATTAAAAAGGGGGAAAAATCAAAACAAATACTATGAAGTTAAAAACTGTCGGGGGCTAGAGAAGTGGCTCAGTGGTTAAGAGCACTGACTGTTCTTGCAGAGGACGTGGGTTTGATTCCCAGTACTCACATGGGGACTAACAACCATCTGTAACTTCAGTTCCAAGGGAATCCAAAGTCTGTCTGTCTTCATTTCTGTCTTCCTTCCTTCCTTCCTTCCTTCCTTCCTTCCTTCCTTCCTTCCTTTCTTTCTTTCTTTCTTTCTTTCTTTCTTTCTTTCTTTCTTTTCCTTCCTTCCCTCCCTCCCTCCCTCCCTCCCTCTTTCCTTCTTTCTCTCTCTTTCTTTTTGAGACAGGGTCTCCCTGTAGCCCCAACTGTCCTGGAACTCGCTATGTAGACCAGGGTGGCCTTGAACTCACGGAGACCCACCTGCCTCTGCCTCCCAAATACTGGGATTAAAAGTGCCCGGCTCAATTCAATCTCTTCATGTACCTTTTGACAAACAGAAGTTTTACATAATCAATTCTGTTAATTTCTTCTCTGAGTAGTATTTTTGTTTCCTATTAAAGAAATCTTTGTTGCCATCAAAGTCATTAAACTACCTATATAATTTTAAATTTCTAGAAATTACATTTATATAGTAGAAACAGGACAATTTTTTAAATAAA